ATCCCTCCTTAAACAAAAGGAAAACTTACCATACATTCTGTTATTACTTACTTGGTATACATGCTTGAATTTGCTATTGCTACCTCAAGTTCAATTTATCCAAAATTAAACTTGTCATCTCCACGCCAATCTATATGTATGGTGGTAGTGGTGGTTATGTTCCATGGATTTGGTTCTGACTCATAGCACCCTGTATAGGGTTTCTGAGGTTGTGAATCTTTATGGGAGCAGAAAACCTGGTAGTTTCCGCAGAATGACTTGTAGTTTCAAACTGCTGACTTTGAGGTTAGCAGCTCGACTTGTAATCACTACATTATCAGAGCTCCTTATCTATATGTATAGTATGTTGTTGTTATTAAGTGCTGTCAAGTCAATTTTGACCCATAGTGACCCTGTATAGGGTTTCCAAGTTTACTTTTATTTCTCCACTTGTCAAATTTACAATGACTGGGTTATCATTCCCAGTTGGTACTCTATTTCATACATAATATTCATCCAATGGCAAATCGATTCTTCCATAACTTTAATTCATCTTTATTGTAAGTACTTCACTTTGGGTCAAGTACATTTGACTCATGGTGATTCCATAGGTGCCAAAATATATCATTTAGTTTTACTTATTTTAATAATTTTATAGAATAATTAAAATATATATATACCACCATCTATCACGGCTGAATTATAGAATTAACCAGAGTTTAATTTTGTAAATTTGTACATATTTATCTTTTTAAGATATACTGAGATAAAAGATTTCGATAAGGGGTGTGATAGCTGTGACAGGTCTAGGACAGGTGCAATTTGAAATATTTGTCAGAATTCTGGAGGAGGCAATTGTACACTCTTCTACTACTGTTGTATTCAGTTTTCTTCTTTTTATTTCTCTTGTTGGCCTTCCAGGCTCTACAGCTTCTAATCTACAACATAGTATAAATGGTTGTTAAGTGCCATCGAGTAGGTTTCAACTCATAGCAACACTGCGTATGGTTTCTGAGGAACGTCTAGTGAGTTTGAACCACCAACCTTGTGATTCAAGCCGATCTTTTGGTCTAGTACTTATCCTACTGTACCATACCATAGCATTACATATTTAGGTAGTAAATTGAAGCTTACTCTTCTCTTTCCTCAGTTGATGTAATCTAGTATTGTATGAATGTTGCTGTTAAGTGCCGTCGAATTGGTTCCGACCCGTAGGCACACTGTATAGAGTTTCTGAAGAGTGACAGGTGAGCTTGAATCACCGACTTTGCAGTCCTGCATTAATACACAGCACCACACACCAGGGTTCCATTGTAGGAATGGTGTTGTTAAGTGCTGTCGAGTCGATTCCTACCCACAGCGACCTGTATAGAGTTTACCCAGGAGCATCTGGTGAGCTTGAACAGCCAACCTTGCAGTTCAAACGGCATTGCAGTTTGGCTCATTAACCTACAGCGCCACACCAGGACTCCATAGGAATAGTATTGTAAAATGCTTGAAGAAAAATTCTTTATTTTTATCATCAAGTTTAATTTTCTGATTTTAGTTGCAAAGATAATTGTTATTAAGCTATCAGTGGCATAATTTAAGATGCACATTTCTAGTAATAACTGATACCATTTTAATTTTCCTTCAGACATGGTGTGGCACTGTAGAATAAGCACTGGACCGCAAGATCAATTTGAATCATGTGGCCAGTGGTTCAAAATCACCAGCAACTTCTTGGAAATCCTATACAGGATCACAATGAGTTGAAACCGACTTGACGGCACTTAACATAGCAAATCGATTATAGGGAAAGTTCTGATGTGAAGAAAGGATGTTACCAAGAACCTCAGTAGAAATCGGCCTTGCAAAGAAAGAAAGACATATCATGTTTATTTGTCCTGACACTACTATTGAGGAGTTTAAAATTTAAACTTTACCGCAATAAACAAGTTTTGTACAAGTGAGTATATCTGTTCCTGTCTGGCGTTTCCTTCGCTTGCACTAAGAAGTAATGTCTTACCCCCAGGTTCAGGCTAAGGGCAGCTGTATTCCCGAGGGGTCAGCCCGCGAGCCTTTGAGCTGATCCAACGGCCTTTATCCTTTGGCGGAGCTCCCTGCGGTCTGATAGAGACATGTTCCTACGCCTTGTACTCTTCGCAGAGCTTGTAAGGATACACACCAGCCTCAGTAAGCCCAAGGGAACCCTTGTCTTCATTCTTTTGTCTCAGCAAAGAACTGGTCTCTTCCAAGGAAACAACTCTAACCCTGAGATGTCCATTTCCCTTCCCTAAACCACTGTGGGCACCTTCATTCACACTGCCTCCCAAGACAAGAACAGGGTGAACCTAGGATATTAACTGATAAATCTACTCTCAGTATCAGAATCGAGGTTCAGATTGGCTGCAGGTATCTGAACAGGGGACTGTCCCACTTTAATGACCAGAGGATTTGAGTGGGAGTATACTGAACCAATTAACGCTTCAGTTCTTAAGAAAAACAGGACCCGATGTGTTTCGGAAAGCAAAGGGAATGGTTTTACAGAAGTGTTATATATATGAAAGCCTCATCTTTCTCCCTCGGAACAG